CTGTCAGCAGAAGGATAAAAAGGAGGGGACCAACCTGACCTCCCTAGGGAGAGCATTCCATAACCTGGGAGTTGCCACAGAGAAGACCCTCCCTTGTGTTCTCATCAACTGCTTCTGCACTGGCAATGGAACCGAGAGGAGGACATCCTGGGAGGATCATAAGCACAGGGAAGGCTCATTTGGGGAGATACGGTTTGTCAGGTAGCCTGAGTTGCTAGGTCACTTGGAATTAAACCCAGTGCATGCTGTTCAAGTATACTCTGGCTTATTTTTTGCTGCTGAACCTCAGCGTTATCACATATTCCCAGGTGTCTGGCCCATTCTAACCTTTCTTCATCCTAAGGAATTGAATTCAATTGAGTCAAACGAGTGTCAGAGCTGCTCTAATTGCCTCTTGGATGCCAAGAAAGGTCACTTCCCACCTACCCTAACAAACACTTCCAATGCAGAGCTATGTATAGGGTGTAGCAAAAACATCTGGGAAGCCCCAGATCAGAAAGGCAAGATGCAAGCTTTATTTGCCAGCTTGGGAGTCTTGCTGGATTTGCAACATAATCCCTAGTTAATTCTGCTTATCCATCATGCTTGATGTTGCAAGAGATCCATTTGCGGAACAGGGTCAGTCAAATGAGAGAGATAAAAGCTGTGCCAGTATTTCCCAGGCTTCTGAGCTTCCCACCCCACCCCAAGATCCGTGTCTCCCTTCCCAGCAGCCCAAAAATAAACGCCCCTGACATCGCATGCCCTGTAATTCAGGCTGCACACACTCCAGGAGACATCAAGATGGAACAAGTTAAAAATAGGTGTTAAAGGGATAGAAGAGGATCAAGGTTGATGTGTTGAACTCCGTGCAGAGGAGAGCCACAAAACCCACCCAAGGCTCCAACAGCTGTTCTTCAGGAAGCAGGCCCCAGAGATTCATACAGCACAGGGAAGAACACAAGGGGAAATGACTGACCAATATCCTTGCAACATTCTCATCAACTCCTCACAGCCAAAGACCTGGCCACGCACTAAATTCTCTAGATAAGCTTTCAGATGGGGGGGGGGGACTCTTAATCGGGCATGATGATATTACAAAAAGCTAGAGAGGAAGACTCATGATTAGATCACAGCAATCTGCATCTTATAGAAATATGTAATGGAGAAGATGATGCAGACAGCAGGCTTTTCAGGTGTTAATTCAGCCTGGATGGCTACTGTTGTGTTTGTAAACCAAGAAGGCCATAAAAAATCTCCATTATTAATCTAATGCCTAAACTATGGTCTGTAGCATCTTCCCTACTAGATCCTTAGACAACACGCAGATCACTCTGCTCCTAAGGCCATCTCACTTTATGTAAAACTATCATACCACAGAACACGGATTTGTCTTATGTGCAGCATTCCCCATGTTTTGCTTGAACTTGGCTACTTTTTAGGACTACATATAGCTCACTGAATTACAACCGCACCAGAATGTCCACTGATTGTGCTGGCTGGGGAATTCTAAAATTTCCAAGTCCTCCTCCTATGTCTGAAGCACCCTGTTCCTTCCAATTAGGTGTATCTCTATTCTCTTACACAACATACAGTATATTAGACATACAGTTAAGGGGCTAGATACTCCCAATTGTTAACTTTCTTTCCTTCTTCAATCTTGACAGGCAGCCCTGACTAGAACATCTTATTTATACTGTCAGAACACATTGGCTTGTATCACCACGGCCAGATGAGATATCTTTAGGAATGTGAGTGGGTGGTGCACTAGCCTATAATAGACCTATAATAGGTCTATGACCACAGCTGAAACTTGGTGGTTCATGACTGACTCTTCTAGATGAACTAAAGAAAAGGGATCTGTACTGCAAATCCTGCTAGCAAGGAGGCTGATACTTCCTATTTGTATGCATCACACATCAGGGTGTGTTACATGGGGGGGGGGGACAGTCCTCCTTCACTGCAGTGGATCTTATGCGATGCTTTGAACTGCATGAGAAAATCAGTGCATAAATGGGAGCATTTTGTCTTACTGAAGAGAAAAACATACTGTTTTGCTCCTCTGTTTCTTAGAGAGCAAACAACTTTCAGGTGACACACTGTTGCACAGTTTGTCTCAAGGAACACAAACACATTTAGCTCCCTATGTAGAATTTCTCACTCCTATGCTATGCTTTTATGCCAGCCAGCATGAATTTCAGGTGCTGATTCCCCTCCCCACCTCCCAATTCTGCACACCTTATTTTTTTTCCTTTGACACCTTCAGTTATTTGTGCTTCTGGACTCCAGGGGAGTGTCAATAAAGTGCCTGACACCTTACTGCTGGGTAAGAATAATCAGGTTTGGCCTACACAAGCACAAAGCTCTGAACACTGGAAGTAAGGAACAGGGTTGAGTTGATTTAAATCAATTAAATTTTTTTAAAATGATTGATTTTTATCCACCTTGGTAAGGAGTAGGTTGAAGTGAAGTGAAATCTGAACACCTATAACAACACTCATTTTCCGAGACTGCATGCTACCTTCAATATCAATTTCTTTAAGCCTTGTTCACGTTCCAGGAGCACTGATGATTGCCCTCAAAGGATGATTCTCCTTTTACATTTGGCTTCATAATTTCTGGCTTCCCTGGAACAAGAGATTCTGGTGGCATGGGTTCCTACCCTCCCCTCACCCAATTCCACCACGAAATTCATCAGGTGGCCTTAGACCAGCCCACCACAGCAAAGATACAATGCAGTATAGAAGTGTGCTATTTCCATACTGTATATTGTCTCATCAACAACACGCACACGTTCTGTGACAAACTAAGCATAGCTTCAGACAGTCAACCATCTTAGAAAAAGATTTTGCTTTGTTTTACAAGCACGTAAAGATTCAGGACAAGTAATCCATGAATATTATTTTATACAAAGCAGAAATATGTTTTTAAAATAAAATAAAAAATTAAAAGTAACTTCTGTTGTTCAATGTACATAGTAATGTTTTCCCTATGGAAATCACCATCTGTTTAAATATGCATAGCTAACATATTGTTATCTCTAAGGCAGGCAGTCTTACACCAGAGCTGGGGACAAGTCCTATTGAGCTTAACTGGATTTGTGCTTTAACAGAAAGGAACAGAATGGAAATGCACAGAATTGCAGAGTTTTAAGCATATTTAGTTGCCTGTAAACCTCACTGAAAGTCAAACATACCTCCAAGTAAAGAGGAGTAAAACTGGGTTCTACAACACAGTTCCCATCAAAGTAGTACACCTGCTTCTGGTTTGCCTGTGGCTGATTAAATTGCAATTGCATGCAGAAAACGAAAACGTCAGTCCTCAAATGGCAATGCTATCTCAACTCTGTTCTCTGTGTTGAGAGATTATGTGAGCATGTTGTGAGTGGGCCAAGATGAAACCTTATTTTAACAAGCAATATTATGCTTTATTCTTTTATGTTTCATTCTTATTCATAGTTAATGGTTGATGTATATTTTCAATAATAGATTTTTCTGTGATGAGTCTTAAGCATTGTATGGGTTATGTAGTCTGAAATCAAAATACCTTGTAACCTTTGTAACAGAACTCTAACAAAAGATTACATTTTCTGTTATAATGCCCTTGTAGTTGAGACCAGGCCCTTATTGAATTATAATGTAACACAAGCAGAGTACTTTGAATAACACTATTTCCTGCATTGATTATGCTATTTTGTAATGTACTATGATTTAATCCTTGCATTTATTGATTATTTTAGTATACATTTATATCTATATGTGTATGTATATCTCTTTTCTGGGTGCCTTTAAGTCAACCCGGGGAACTCCTGACCTTTGGGCCAGAAAGACTTACACCTAGCATTTCACATTCTTGCATGTCAAAGCAGATAATGTCTCCAAGAAGAGAGTATTTGGGTTTCGTTTCCAATAACAATTAGAGACTGAATTACATCAACAAGGGTTGTTATGAAGACAATTCAGGAGATAGATGGCCCCTAATGAGGGGGGGAGGAAGCTACAGTCATCTGGAGTTTAACACATTGAGGAGAATTGCTTCTTTTGAAGACCATAGATCAAGGCCCAGGATGACAGACAAGAGATACATAAACATGCGACTAGAGATAAGGGAAATCCAGACATGCTCAGAGTAGACACGTTGACTCTTTTTGGGGTAGGGACACGAGGTACTAGATGAGAGATTCAAACGGGACCAATAGAATGAATTTACAAAATATCTCTGGCCAATAACAGGCAGGATTGAAAGGTATGGGTTCAAGGCACCAATCATAATAATTCTCTTTATGGCTCTTTGTCTGTAACTATTATAAAACATAGGCTCACTCTTTATTCTGGGTCTCCCTCTGCTTTTAAGATGGGAGGCCCAGCTGAACTTTTGTACTTTAATAAAATTGGCTTGTTCAGCTGTCTTGTGTCTTAGCCTGTGATCCTTGCCAGAGAACTCGAACCCAGTACTGGTCTAATCTCAATTCAGATTTGGCCGGTAACAATGTGTTTGCAGAACAAATGGAGTATGGCCCAGTCGCAGGCTTACCTCCTCATTGAGAACTGTGCCCGAAGCCTCATCAGTGTAATTTCTCTCTTTTAAAAATAATGTTTAGAACACACACAAGAGATGAACATTTCCATAACTAACAAGACTGGCTGACTTTTCCAAAAATCTGGAGATGTTTAATTTCTTTGTGGCCAAAGCTAATTACAAGTCCCAGGAGATTCAGAGCAAAATGCAACCTCTGCAAAGGCAGGGTGAGTGTACGCATACATGCAAAATGTCCCTCTTTCCATCAAGTCTTTCCTCTCCCCCCACTTCAAGGCTACCAAGCTTTGTGGTATCACTGGTGACCTCACTGATTAGGTCACAAGCCGTGTATGGGCCCAAAACACAAGCTGAAGGCTAATCCTATGCCTCCACCTGACCACCGACAGAAAAACAAAAACAATGTATGGCCAGTCCCACTGAGAAGTCGAAGACAGACATATAAACGACTGTCACAGAACACCAAGACATGCAAAGCCTCAAACCTCCTTTAAGAATGACAGGGCCTGTCCTGGCAAACGGATGAACAGCTGGCCCTGGGTGCAGATGTGGGTCCCAAAAAGCAAGGCAGAAAAGCCTGTAATAAATACATAAAGTTGTTTTATTTGCATGTGTGTGTTTATGTGTAACACAGTAGGGCTTATTTTCAAGGGATGTTTTATTGTTTTCCATGTACAACAATCTACATTTATTCAAATACAGTCATGTCATCTTCTGGTGGCTGCTCCAGGGCGGAGGGTGGGGTTTCACTTAACTGGGGCTTATTTTTGAGGTAGGGCTTATATTACCAGCATCCTGAAAAAGCAGACTAGGGCTTATTTTCAGGTTAGATCTTATTTTGGGGTAAAAAGGTTATGTATATGTATGTGCATACGTACCTACGTGTGGGTATGTATGCATATATGCACACATATATATGATACCAGGGGGAGAAGATTATACAATTTCATAAACAATTTCAGACACTGAAGAAGCCATGTTTTAAACCTGACACAATGTTTGAGAAATACCAGGCCTCACATGCCTTGCAATACAGTACTAAACCCCAACCATTCACATCTCACACAGATAGTATTTATGCCCCATCTAGAAAAACAAAATAACACTTTCTTCTGCCTCAAAGATGCCAATCTTCAGGTAACAAATGGTGCAGATGGCCACTATCAGAATGTAAGGAGGAGGAAAACAGCAATCAGCATTTTCACACTTTTCAGTAAATTACAATTCTTGAAGGCCATACATCCAGGGCCCAGGAAGAAACATACATAAACATATCAATAGATAAGGAAATCGAAACTCTCCTCTCCAGGCGTCCTGGTGCATCCTGACCCCACAGGTCAAGTAGACATGGGGGCACAGTATGGATATTTGCTCGTAGCCAATGACTTTACGTAGTGGGCGCCTTTGGCCCAGTGGATCCAAACTTAGGGTTCAGATGACCCATAGAAATGTTGTGCTTGATTGCTCTTTGTTTGTGATCATTATGAAACATGGGTACCCGATATCCTCGGGGCCTTTTTCCTCTTCCTTTAAGGGGGGAGGGCTGACCTTTTCTTGCTTTAGCATTCAAATAAAATCGGACCTTTGGTTCAGCTGTTGCGTCTCAGCCTGTGTTCCTCGCCAGAAGATATATATTCTAGAGCTTGCCCGGTAACATATACGTATGTAAACGCCCTTGCAAACTGTCCGGGTCTGTAAAAAGGCAACAAGCCCTTCTCAACCGGGCCTCTGCTGCCTTCCCCCGTCCCTTCCTCCCCTTCTTTGGCTTCGGCCGAGCCTTTTTCCCCTCGGTTTTCAGCCCGGGCCGCCCAGCGACCGACCCGCCCGCCAGGCCTGCCTTTCCCTCCGTGGCCTCATGGTTACTACCTCCCCCCTTGAGGGCCTTCTCCTCAGCGGGAAGGCGGCCGGTAACTGAACGAACACACAACACACACACACACAAGGGGGGAGCCCTCCCCTCCCCCGCTGCTCGGAACCCCGGGCCTGAAAAACGGGGCTTTGGGGGGGGGCGGGCCTGCTCGGTGAGAGGAATTATTTCCTCTTTTTTGTGAGGGAGGGGAAATATTAGGGTCCCCACACGGACATTTTTGAGCCTAGCGTTGACGGTGTGTGTGGGTGTGAAGCCTCCCCCATGCTTCTTTAATTAATCTTTGTGGGGGCCCTCCCTAATTAAAAGGTGCTGCTTGTGTGTGTGGACAATTTCTGTGATCCCCCCCAGGAAGCTGCCCTTCCCCCACCCGGCGCTGAGGAATAATTGTGAGGGGGGGGAAATAAGAGGCCGCCGGACCGAGGGGAGAACCGCCTCTCCCCCCCAATTCCAAACCTGAGGAGGACCCGATTCCTTCTCTCCCACACATACTCACCGAACTCCCCGAGGGGAAAGGAGAGGCCCGCGTCCGCCACCGCGCGCTTTCCCGGACCCCGCACCTCCCTCACGGCCGGACGCCCCGACTCACCACCGTTGGGATTTTTTCAAATTTCTCCCTCAAATCCAAACCAGCCAATCACCGCCCGCCGGACCGCCCCCCTCAGGCGCGCCGATTGGTCAGAAGGCGGAGAGCCACGGGGGGAGGGAGGGAAGGGCGGGGCGCCAAGGCGTGAACCACCCGGCCACGCCTCCCCCTCCTGGAGGAAACAACGTTTACGGAGCGAGACTCTTTTTTTCCCCCTCCCAGAGGCCCCCGCTCAGCGGGCCGCAAGGGATCCTGGGAGGCGTAGTTTGGCAGAGAGGCGGAAGGAAGAGGCCGGCCTGGAAAGAACCCTGAGAATAAACGACCACGCCCAGAGAGGGTGGCGCGCGTGCGCCTGCCAGCCAGCCAGTCCCCCTTCGGGGTTCTTTCAATTCAGGCCTGGCCCTATGGATGGCGCGGACTACAGCTCCCATAATGCCCGGCTATAGGTCTTGCTAGTTTGGGGTTCTGGGAATCAAAGGCCAAGACAGAGCTTTCACCTATCCCGCCAAAGTATCCTGGAAACGAGGCAGAGCCTAAGGGAAAGGCTGCTGTTTTCCTATTCCTTGTGCTTTTTACACACCCCCCCCCGTATTGTGGCCTGGATTGTTTTTTGAACTATAACAGACAGAAATCCAATCCTGAAATGGGCTGCATCCATTCATTCCAGGGCACCCCTAGAGATCTAAACAGGGACTAGGGCTTTGTGGCTCCCTAGGCAGAATAAGCATCTGGCTTTCGATTCATTTTTATTAAATAAAAACCCGCTTCTTCCTGTGCCTATGGAGGCACAAAAGGGTTTTCTTCCCCAAAACTGATTTCAGCAGAATCGCCGTTTTCCTACCTTGGAATTCATGGCCTCAGCAAGTCAGAGATACTCTTTATCTTGATTCAGCTCATTGTTCAGCCCTGCCATCTTTTCTCTTTTAGGTGAATGCTCGTGGATATTATTTTTATCTTGTTTAATTTTATATTGGCTGATTTATACTTTGGCTTGTTATTCTACTGTTTCGTTTCATACCCTGTTTTATGCTATGTAATACCGCCCAGAGTGGCCTGGGTTGCCAGAGGGGTGGTATATAAATCAAATAAATAAATAAATAAATAAATAAATAAAGCCTAACCTTTCATGGAGTGGCTAACAGAAGTTTCGTGTTGATTTTTAAGTCCTTTACGTCTTGCCAGAGAACAAACTTATCCATTCTGAAGGAAATCAACCCTGAGTGCTTCCTGGAAGGACAGATCCAGAAACTGAAGCTCCAATCCTTTGGCCATCTCATGAGAAGACTCCCTGGAAAAGATTCTGATGTAGGGAAAGTATGAAGGCAAGAGGAGAACGGGACGACAGAGGATGAGATGCCTGGATAGGGTCAGCGAAGCGACCAGCATGACTTTGACCCAACTCCAGGAGAGGCAGTGGAAGACAGGAGGGCCTGGCGTGCTCTGGTCCATAGGGTCACGAAGAGTCGAACACGACTTAACATCTAAGCAACAACAAGTCAGACACGACTTAACAGTAACAAAAGCAACCAAAGGAGTCCATTTCAAAGGGACATGTTTGCACATCAGAGCAAGCCATGGTTTATTTTAACTTTGGCTTGTTGCTTTAACCATACATTTCTCAATGGAAGACCTCACAAACTGGGCTTGTCTCCCCCAGATCTGGTTTGTCTATCTCCTGCCTGTTCCTTGGTCATCTTTTGGGGTGGTGAGCTGGATAAATAAGCCACAGTCAAGACATGATTGCAAGTTTGGATGGCATGATGAGCTGTGGACTGAACAAGTCAGAGTCAACAGCAAACTAAGGGTCCAGGTTGTCAAGATATGGGGAGAAACCCCGTAGTTAGGATGCTAAGGGCATAATGAAGCATCAGCGATGCTATCACAAAGTCACACAAACTTGTTAGAAATCCGATTTAATGCAGGAAGGGAAGGAAGCCACTCACATGCTCCCCTGTTCCCTTCGCATGCAAAATACACACACACAGAACACAACAAAATATACACACACGGACACAACTTAACTACTAAACAACAACAACCTCTTGCCAGGATATTCATCTTATCAGAATTTTGAACCTGGAATAAAAAGGCAAACCAAAATTATTCGCTTTTGTGTGAGCATTTGTGAATTGCAAGCCACTTCTTCAGACACACTGAATGTCCTTTTTTAAGATGTCACAGTACTTTTGTATTTGTTGTAAACACTAATGTTAATAATGCACGTCTCATGTATCCCTCTTCACAACCATGTACATTGTGGGTAAATATTTTGTGGCCTCAATACGTATTACAGTATATCACAGAAGTGAGTACATCCCTTCACCTGTCTTAAATATTTTAGTATACCTTTTCATGTGACAACACTGAAGAAATGACACCTGGCTGTAATGGAAAGCAGTGAGTATACACACAAAACACGTAATAAAAACAATTAATATGAAATAACAGATTCCAGCATTAACACAAAAGCAGAATACTCTAGATAAAGATAAAGAGAATTACATAGTGTCTGGAGGGGAGGCCTGTCTATATAACCAGGTCTTGAGTTGGTTTTTGAAAATGCCCAGCGAGGGGGCCAGACGAATCTCGGGGGGGGGAGCATGCTTCTTTAGCAAGGCAGGGGTTGTTTGATCTGTAGAACCTACTTATTTTTTTCTTTCTGGCAGCCTCTATTCTCTTTAAAGCTCTTCTCTAACATCAGATTTCAAGTGAATTAAATATTTTCCTGTTGGTTTTCTCCACTGCCCAGCTTTGCCATTCAAACAGCATATCAGGAATATCACATAAACAGATGAATGTGTGTCTCTAGTGTCACTTCCTAACAGTTGGGGAAAACTCTGTCCTGGTGGCCTTCCAGGTCTCAGTCTTTTTCTGAGTTCTTGGTTGCAGTCTACAAAATCTTTTTAACAATTTCAACGTTTTCATTGTCAGCATTAAAGTAATGCACTGCAATTCTTTAATAGATGTGATTTGTGTCTTTTTAAGTATTCAACTGCAGTCTTGCTTCTACACTTGCTTCTTTCAACTTCATCTTGAGTCATTTCAAGTTATTGCTGCTTTCTGACAGTAAAATAATATCATCTGCATATCGCCAGAAAACCACCGCAAGTCACACACCCTGAATCTTTCGTACAGTACAATGAAACAATTACACAGGCAAAGCACCATCTGAATTGGAGTGGTTAGAAAAACTTAGAAGCCCACAGCAGAGGGTGTGTGTGTGTGAGGGTTGATTCATATTGTCCTTCATGTCTTGTGAATCACTGAAAAATATTTTGAATTCACCCATGCCAACTCCAGAACTCCAGATCAAATTGCAAAGTATTTTCCAAAGTAGCTGCATGCTTAGATGCAGCCATTCTCTCTCTGAACTGTTTTCAAGGCCAGCCCCATGTAGAGCGCACTGCAGTAATCCAGGCAGCCTGTAATTTATTGTCCAAGAGAAGTGATGTGATCTCGTGATGTCCAACTGTATATGGGGAACGAAGGGAGAGTCAGAGGAAAAGTTTTCTTTTTCTGAAACAGGATCATTATTGCCATAAAAGCCAGTATTGGCTCCCCACCTGACTCACTGATTAACATTATGTTAATGAGGGCTAGCAGGTCAGCCAGCTATTTTATTTTTTAAAATTTTGCTCAAGAAGCAGTCAAGTGCTTCTTGAGCAAAACTGTGCAGTTATGAAGCTACCAACAACTTCCTAATGTCTCTTCAGCAGCTGGATTATCATCTATCCTGCTGCTTATCTAGTTGTTTCTTTGCTGCTTCAGTCCCCCCCAAAAAAACCCTTTCCATTCTATGTCTGATCATTAAATCTGCCAATCACACTCGCTATAACTGGAAGCATCACAGCTCTGAAGCACAGCAGACGCAGCCATGTAATGTTATATGCCATGAAGTTACTTCCAACATCACAGTCCTTATGAATTTGTGACCTCCGAAAGCTGCCTCTCTTAACAGCCCTCTTAAGGTCTTATGAACTCAGCGCCACAGATTCCTTTATTACAACAGTCCTTCTGCCATTCGGCCTTCCTGTTTTCCCAGCATTACTGTGATTTTCACTAAGTCCTATACTTTTCCCAAACCTCTTAACTTATTTATTACTTGTATCCTGCCTCTCTTCTACTCCATGTTATCGCCACAACCCTGTGCTAAATAGGTCAGGCTGAGTTTAAGCGTCACTGGACCAAAATCACCCGGTGAGTTCTCCATCGGCTGAGTCTGGGTGTTAACCTGGATCTCCCACTCTAAGATTCAAACCCACAACGCCACACTGGTTTCCTCATTATAACACAAGTTCTGTATGAGCTTAACTCTGGATGAACTCCTTGTGTATGAAGGAGCTCACCTTAACATATGTCAAATTTAAGGAAAAGTAATAATTTTTTGCAATAAATATTTATCCTGCTTTGCAGTGTGGCTTCCCAACCTTTATTTTGTGACACCTCTAACTGCCACAGATTATGGAGTCCAGCAGGCCGAGGCCAAGAGGCCGTCCCGAAAGCAGCAAAATCAGGGAGCTGGACAGGGGACGGATGGTGTTCGTCTCCACTGTGGAAGGGATAGTGTCACTCTCGAATGGGCCTCCTCAGCCACCCTGGACACTGTTCTAAGATATCTCTATTCAGAGCACGTTGCCATTGTCTCTCAAGACTGAAGGAGGCCTAATCCTATGGAGTGGAATATATATGAGATGTATACATTTGGAAGGACCACTGTATCCAGTGGGGATGAGCGCTCAGTAACCATGGATCAGAGCTGGTGGCAGGTTGCAGCTCTGCTGCTTTGGAAATGTGCCCTTGCTAAAGAATGTTATATCGGAGACGGACTCTGGTGCGTGGATGGAATGGATGCTCACGCTGCTTTTGTGCTGAGGATTCCACCTTCCGCTTTATGCTCCCTCAATTCTCAGCATAGCATGCATGGGAAGCAATTACAGCTACCAATTCTGCAAACGTGATTTGTTTTAGTGCTTTTATCTCCTGCCCAACCCAAAATTGACCCTGATCTTACA